AAAATCATGCGAAAATGAATAAAAATAACAAAACAATTCCACATTTTGCAGTCAGTGCTTGGAGTGCTTTCTATTTTTAATATTCAAAGTTTACAACTCGTTACTTGTCACTGGAGTCCAGAAGTACCTTAATGTTCAGTTTTTGATGTCATAAAAATTGAAGCTAACATGAATAAACAAATACTTTCTGAACATAGTGAGAGTAATGCAGAAACTCAAAGCAAGGCATGTACTTGGGAAGAATTCCTGCACTCTCTTTATAAAGCTTTGTGCGATAGCTACCTGTTATGATTGTCGGTGTGTGGACTCTAGGTAGAAATCTATTTGGTGTTGAATGCCCAGAGGAAGTTTGTTCCTCCCAATAAACTTTTGTCAGATAAGAACATGTGTTCATTTTGCCTTTCTCTTTTTGACATGACTATCAGGAAGCTCCTAGCCACAGTCCTTGGCCTAGGGTTTCATTCCATTCTACCTACCACCTCTTCATTTCACCAGAGTTTTTTATTTTATTTTATTTTATTTTATTTTATTTTATTTTTTTGAGTTGGAGTCTCACTCTGTCGCCCAGACTGGAGTGCAGTGGCCACTCCCGGCCATCGCAGCCTCTACCTGCTGGGCTCCGGCGATTCTTCCGCCTCAGCCTTCCGAGTAGCCGGAATTACAGGCATGCGCTACCACGCCCGGCTGATTTTTTGATCTATTGTAGAGATGAGGTCTCGCTGCCCAGGCGGGTCTCGAACCCGCAGGCTCAGGCAATCCACTCACCTCAGCCTCCCAGAGGCGCGGATTACAGGCTGAGCCACCGAGCCCGGCTGAGTTTTTTAAAAGAAAAATCCTAGAACCTCCATGACTTTTATTGAAACTGGAAAATATAAATATACTTATAAGGATACTTCCCTGGAAATATAAATGGAATGCAGGGATAATTAAATGTGAGCACTAAATGTCCAAGTCCTCTCTACAGAAGGACAGTTATTCAGGTGGCTAGACCCATGCCTTCTCCTAGTATAGTGGAGAGCCTATGTATTTCTCCTACTTGCTACCTCCCCACTGGATGGAGCAGGTAAGCATTTCAGAGGAATTTCTGTGCGGTGATTTCACAAATTATAATTATTAAAAACATTATTAATTAACATTACACAGCATAATGTGTAATACTATTTACATAATAGTCCACAATTAGTAAGTTGTTGCAAAGTGTTGTGACACCTGTCACCAATTTGGGTAATAGAAGCAAAAGAACCTTACCATCGCTTGGGTACCTGAGAATCCTTTTTCATATACCTTTGCTGGGCCTTACCTATGGGTTGAAGAATCCTTTTTCATATACCTTTGCTGGGCCATACCTATGGGTTGAAGCTTATTACTGGGTAACTGATTACATATTAGAAAGCTGAGGTTGCTGGGAGTTACTGACTTTAAGCAAAGGAAATGTTTTATTAAAGCAAAATTAGAGAAGTTAAAAACACTGGCTTAGCCACACAAAACTCTTCTAGTGCCCTATGCATTATGATTTTTAGAAAAATGAACATAATATTCCTAATTGAGTATCTAGGCTCTACACATGATAAAGGAGATTTTAAATAAACTTACCAAAATGGCATCATAATTAAAACCAGTGAAGAAGGACCCAAGACTAAAGCTAATTCTGCACTATCCAGTTTTGTAGTTTCTCCGAGTCTTGGTTTCTTCATCAGAAAAGGAAGGGGCTGAGCCTAACGATAGATATTCAATTAGTACATTTTGCATTGCTAGAAATAAATATTTGAGGCTGGGTAACTTAGAAAGAAAAAAAAGGTTTATTTGGTTCACAGTTTTGCAGGGCACTGGCATATGCTGGGCTTCTGATGAGGCCTCAGGAAGCTTTTAGTCATGGCATAAGGGGAAGAGAGAACAGGAGTGTCACATGGCAAGAGCGGGAGCAAGAGAAACAAAGGGACGTTGGTTCCAGGCCCTTTTAAACAACCAGCTCTACCATGAACTAATAGAGCCAGAACTCACTCATTGCCCCAAGAACAGCACTAAGCCATTCATGATGGATCTGCCCCCATGGCCCAAACATCCCCCACTAGGCCCCACCTCCAACACTGGGATCACATCTCAACATGAGATTTGGAGGAGACATCTCCAAGTTTGTCAGATCCCTAAGCTGAAAGACAGCAAAAATTTCTCTGTCGAAATTCAGCTAAATTTCGACAGGCCTATTGTGTCTCCCAGGCATGTAGGGATGTGTGACACACAGTCTTATTTTAGCACAGAGAACTTGAAATGTGAGTGTTGTCTTTTTACTACCAGCTAATTTTGGATGTGAATACTTAGTAGGTGCTTAGGAAAAGGTCTTTTGTGGAGGACGGCTCCTCTTTTGCCCTGCTGTCATCTAGATGTGTTACTCTCTTTTCTTCGAGAAGTGAGAATGGATCTGGGTGGAATCATCTACACTCTGTTACTCTATCCTCTTGCAATTTGTGAGACAGAAGTCAGGCTGCAGATATCTCCAGTAGCAACACTCATCCAGGGTGCCTGTAGCCTAGTGGTTGAGAATGGGGGTTCCGAAATCAGAGTCACTGTGGTCCTGCTCTAGTCCTACTGCTCATTCGTTTTGTGACCTTGAGCAAGTCATTTAACCTCTGTGCCCCTGCTTTTCCAAATGTAAGATGGCAAAACAACTGATCCTATTTTTTTTTTTTAGTTAAAAGTGTAGAACATTTTGAACAAATATCTGGTGCTTGGTAAAAGCCCGATAGTAGACAGCCGATCTTGTTTTATTACTGCATATATGGGGACTGAACCTCTGACCTGGATCTCATGTACTCCTGTGTAACCAACTGAAAGGAGAATTAGAGAGGAACAGCAGAGGCAGCTCCTAAAAACCCCTAAGTGAGCAGGAAAGATGGTGTTTAAGCCATTCCTCGGAGATTGATGCTGCTGCTATTCTTACAAATCTTTAGGGAATACAATTACCTCTCATTTTCACTAGCCTAATTCAATGTCTGACAACTTCTCTCAGTCAGGAAGTTATTCCTTCTGTGTGGCTTAATTACCTATTGTTGCAGTTCCAATTTGGGCTGAAGGGAAGGCTAGTAGCTCCAACTCTGAGATACAGGTTCTGCCAAACTATTGGTTTGGACACAAAGACTTGGTGTCAGTGAATTGGTGAAGGGTTCAGTCATGCGTTGTTGAGGTGCTGAGATGTCTTCCAGGCAGTGTTCTGCGGGGCCCTGGGGGCTATGTGTATGTGGGCAGGGACCCCAGGAGGGTCAGCAGAGGAGGTGGCAGTTAGTGAGGAGCTAGGACACTTGGCTTAGGAGCCCCACCCCCAATGTAACCTGAGTGCATTTACCCTTTCTTTGTACTTACATGAGTAATTGGGCCAGGAAAAAGCATTCTGCAGATAAAAGAAAAATTTGAAAACCAGGAGGTCAGCACACATCTGTCCCCAACAAGCCACATGATGTAGCCTGTCACTTGGTAGCTCCATATCTTTGCTCCTCTGTGCTGCCTTTATGAAAGTGACAGTGTGTGTGTGGGGGGGGGTGTGGGTGTGTGTGTATGAGTGTGTATTCCTTTGCTCACAGTGATGATGGGAGAGGGGGGATAAATGGGAAGGTTTATGGGGAGAAGAACTTTATCAATTCAACTAATAATTATTAGGAGACTGTAAACGCCCCCCTTCATGTGTTTGGGGACATACTCTTGACCTAGCCTTGTGTGGGTGACCCCTAGGTATTGGTAGGGGATTTTCGTCTATAGCCTATATGACAGGGTGGGATGATTGAAGCCCAAGGTTGAGAGAAGAACCGTTTGGCACACCTTGGCCTAATGAAATAGGTTTGGAGGGATATTGACCAAAATAAAGGGAGTGGATACAGGCTATGTGTGGGAAGATTTTTGCCCTTCGAGTGCTGTGCAGCATGAGGCTTGCAAGGGCCTCCCGAAAAACACAGTCCCAGGCGGCTGTCAAGGCCAGCTGTTCAGTCTCACCTAGCACTGCATCCTTACCTCTGACAGACAACGGAGTGGTGTCCTGATTTGTAAAGAATGAGGTGGGGGCCTTTGAGCACCAGAGGATTCAGAAAGCATCTCCTCCGTTAGTTTGAGCCCACGACTTGGATTTCAATCCCTTCCCCTGAATGTTAGCAAGAACAGCGAGTGTTACTCAGGACTGTGTGATTAGGGGAAAGCTGTGACCCAAAAAGTCATGTTCCGATGATGGTGAGATTTTTCTTCACACTTGGTGGTAAATTCCTGGTGAATGTAAATGTCTCTCAGGTTTTGTCAATGATTTTCCCTGCTGGGCCAGTTACTCAGATGGAAGGAGACATGTAAGGTTATGCTGGGAGCAGCCTTGATGATGTGTGATGTATTAAGTGAGGCACGTTACATAGTTAGCTAACCTAATTCTTACAACCACCCCGGGTGGTTAAGTGGTGTCTTCTCCATTATACTGATGAGGAATCTGAGGTGTTGAATATATAGGGCCCACTGATAATTGGTGGAGCTAGTGTTAGAATCTACCCATGACTGAGTTTTTAGATGTGAGACAGCAAGAAACCAGATGCCACCTTGCTTTAAAAAAATGGCCTGAACCAGCTTTATGTGTGACAGATTTGACTTAACAAATAAGTCCTCTTCTCTATTTTTGCAGCTGAAATCTCTCTCTCTCTCTCTCTCTCTCTCTCTCTCTCTCTCTCTCACACACACACACACACACACACACACACACACACACACAGACACACACACAATCACAAAGACTTCTTTCTTCAAATTGTTTGCTAAGCCAGAAGCAACCGGATCACTTAAAATGATGCACTGATCATCCCAACTGCATTTTTCTCTCACCTGAAACACCAATCACAGCAGAGTGTCCCATTGCTGCTGAATAATGCTTGCTACAAACACTTAATACACCCAAATAAATGAATTAATGAGCGAGTGATGGATGGTGGCAGCAGAAGAGCCCTGTACCCCCACATCCATCCGTGGCCTTCTCTTTCCAGGGTGGCATGATCGCTCTGCTGCTGTCCATCCTGTGCCTGGTGATGATCCTATACACACGCCGGCGCTGGTGCAAACGCCGCCGGGTCCCGCAACCCCAGAAGAGCGCCAGCGCAGAGGCGGCCAATGAGATTCACTACATCCCTTCTGTGCTGATAGGCGGGCACGGGCGGGAGAGCCTGCGCAACGCCCGCGTGCAGGGCCACAACTCCAGTGGCACCCTAAGCATCCGGGAGACGCCCATCCTGGATGGCTATGAGTACGACATCACCGACCTGCGCCACCACCTGCAGAGGGAGTGCATGAACGGAGGGGAGGACTTCGCCAGCCAGGTCACCCGCACCCTGGACTCCCTGCAGGGCTGCAACGAGAAGGCAGGGATGGACCTCACCCCAGGTGGGGATGGGAGAAGGGCAAGGGGCTATCTCTGTGTTGAGGAGCTGGGGATTGGGTAGGAACAGCTGCTGTAGGTTGTCCAGCATAGTGGGGTGTGCCAGTTCCCTTCCCCAGGTGGGCAAGAATAACCCACTTCCTGAGATGAAGGAGGCTGTTTTTTCATCTAGAAAATCAGAAGAACAGTGTAAATTGGATCCCTTTTCACTACCACCAGGCATTGAATGAAAGCAGAGTGACCTAGAGCTTTTTTAGTATGAATTGAGCATCCCTCTGGGATATAAGGAGATAGCAAGAAAAATCACTTAATCATGTGTGTATGACTTTTTGTATATCACATATTTGCTTAAGCAATTTAATTCTCTGTTGAAGTGGAGGGGAGAGTGGCATCTGTTTTGCTCTATGATGCTGAGACCTAGGCCCAAGGTATTATGGTTGTGTTATCTTGTCCTTGCCTCTGTGGTCTCTACAGATGGACTTCTTCAGAGAAAAGAAAGAAATACAGCCAAGTTATCAGACCTCAGATGCATTGCCTATTTATGGAGACACTGACTGGAAGAGACCTGGACCTGATCCAGCTGAACAAGATCAGAGTCAAAAAATGTAGAGAGGGAAGGGCTACACTTTTCTTGCTCAGTAGCCTACCTGCTTCTTTTTCAACCCTCTATGAATAAGTAGATCCCCACAGATGAACCCTCAGCAAATCCTTCAAGGAACTTCTCAGTTATCTTTGAGGAAGGCATATTTTATACATATTGCTGAAGATATATGGACTTTCAGTGGGGTCTGAGAGGGTAGAATCACACAGAAACTTCCATTCTGCTTGTTCTCTAGAAGAGACTCTGTATGAGTAGCCAATTCCTAATAAGACTTAAAGTCTGAGAACTTCTTGAGAACAGGGGATGTGTCTGCAACATCTCTCAGATTCTCCTTGGCATCTGGCATGGTCTAGGCTCATCAAGTAGACATATGGTACACAGGGGTTACAAACTCTAATACCTTTGGGGCTAGACAGATAACACAAGTGTGAAAAATAGCTGGAGGTGAGGTAGTAGGGGATGGCATAGACTGTGATGAAAGAGAGAGGGCATCTTCTGCCTGAATGCACACAAACTCAAATTCTTTAACTCCCTGTGCTGACCAAAAGAAAGAAACCTGCCATCTGTATTTAGCCAGAGGGTTACAAGTGATGCCTTTATCACTAGTGACTAGTTTTGTCACTAGCTGAATTAGATTTTTAATTGTAATCCCCTGAATTCACTGTTTCTTCTATAACTTTGCAATTCCCTAGAAATCAAAAAGGAGTAGTTCAGTTTCTTTCTGCCAGTCTCTCACTTTGCAGGTTTCTTGTTTCAATTCTGTGAAACCTCATCTGCTGAGTTCACGCAGATTCCCTTGCTCTCACTGTTCTCTTGGTCATTGCTCTTAAAGTTTTGACCTCAACTTTTCTTGGTGCAGGAAGTGACAATGCCAAGCTATCACTGATGAACAAGTACAAAGATAACATTATCGCCACCAGTCCAGTGGACTCCAACCACCAGCAGGCTACCTTGCTCTCTCACACCTCCAGCAGCCAGAGGAAGCGGATCAACAACAAAGCAAGAGGTGGGCATGTTAGGGTTTGCAGGTGGATTCTTCCTTGTCAGTAGAGGCAGGTCTCTCAAGATCCTCCACCTACACTCTCCTGTGTGGCCAGAGGGGACGTGCCCTGGCACAGTTATATGCTGCTCACCACAAAAAAAATTTAAATGTGTAAACCCTCTGACCAAGTAGTTTCACCAACAAGAGTTTATCCTTAGGAAATAATTGGACAAGTGCTCAAAGTAGTGTGTAAGAGGCTGTTCATCAGGCATTGTTTAAACAAGCGAGAAATTGGAAATAGCTTAAATGTCCATCAACAGGGAATTGGCTAACTACCTGGCACATCTGCCTACTGTCCAGTGGCTTACCATGCAGCCATTTGAAATGATAATTTAGATCTATATGTGTTAATATGGAAAATCGCTCACCCGTCTCTTAAATGGGGAAAAAAATGAAGTCAAAAAAGAGAAGATACAGTATTATGCCGTTTGTAAATGTAGGTTAAAAAAACCCCAAACTTTACCTGTTTCTCTATTACAAAATTCCAGGGAATATATACATTAAATGTTAACAAAGGTTATTGCTGATTTAGAGGATTTAGAGGACACCATGGTTTTTCCCTTTACACATTTTTGTGTATTTTCCATATTTTCTTCTGTCTTTTTGCATTAAATATATATTAGTTTTAGAGCTAGGAAAATAAAACCTATAAAAATATAATTTCCTAAGTACCTTAGGCATAAGTTCAGTCTCATATGAACAGAATCATGACCTATAATGAGGGAAATTGCCTTTTCTTACATTTCTACCCACTATCTATCCCTGGAGATACTTTTGGGTAGAAAGGTACCAGAAATGGCCCTAGTTGAAGGGAGGTGGCTGGGTAGAGGAGGACTGTAGTGATTGCTGTCATGAAGGTCTACTTATCCAATAAGTCTGTAATCAGGAAGCCCCAATCCCCATGACTGCTTCTCCCAGATTGTCAGTCAGTCCGCATTTGTTTTTATCTGTTTTTCTGTTGAACTTGCCCAATGGTTTGGTGTCATGAAGACAACACTGACTGTCTTGGCTGTTCTTTCCCATTACAGCTGGTTCTGCTTTCTTGAACCCTGAAGGGGATTCCAGCACAGAGGCAGAAAACGACCCCCAGCTGACCTTCTACACAGACCCCTCAAGGAGCCGGAGGCGCAGTAGAGGTAAGATGAATGGAGGGGGTAGAAGTGGTGAAGGAGGTTCAGGAACAAGTTGGGGTGTGGGGGGAAAGCGGTAGCTACAGAGGTGTTGGGTTTTGTTGGGTTGCGTTGGGATGTTTGTGGACCAAATCCAGTTTCTCCAGGAAGAATTGTTGGATCACACCTGGTATTACCTCCTAAGGAAGAAAGAAGAGCCTAGAGTGGAAGATTTCAGAGAATCATCTCTCCCAGATAATGGCACTCTCAAACAAGTTTCCAAGTTGTTTGAAAGGCTATTTCTTGGTCAGAAGACTCTCAATTCCTTCTGAAAGCCTCGGCTGTCATATTTTGCTGTTTAGACAAAGAAAATAAAGTTGATAAAGTGCATTTTATGTGAAAAGATGGATAGTATATGTACCCCTTGCCTCCTCAGTCACATCAGCCTTGGGATTGAGCTGGGTAGGGACTGTGGACAGGGTAGTTGAAAGATGATCTACGGCCTGAAGTTGTGTGTATCTGTCTTTGACCTTTAACCTCTCGCCCAATAGAATCACAAGACCCTGAGCCTCCAAGTTCCCTCCTTTCTCCTGAAGGGTTCAAGTAGCGAATCCATTCTCTTTCACACTGACCGAGCTATCTTTCCATGCAGCCACCATCTGTGCCACTCCACTCTCATGTTCTGCAGCTGTAGGTGTGGCTATTGCTGCTGCCACCACCTGTGTGACTTTGCTGGTGTCACCATCACACTGAGGGATGTCTGGGCCCAAGCACCAATCACTTTACCAGTTACCTGCTGTGTGATATGGGACAAAGACAACACAATCTCTGAACCTTAGTTCCCTCACATATTAAATGAGTTAATAAAATCTCGTGCATAGGTCTACTATCAGAATTAAATTTTATTAAAATATACCTTTTTTGGTGACTGCTAAAGCACTATTAAATCCCTCCTGTTGCTGTTAGAATTCTCCATCATGCAGCCTCATGTTTCTTTCTTCACTTTCCTCCTCTCCCTTTTCCCTCCTTTTCCTTCTTCGATAGGGTTTTTCTCTGTCACCCATGCTGGAGTACTATAGGGTGATCATAGCTCACTGTAGCCTCTAACTCCTGAGCTCGAGCAATCTTCCTGCCTCAGCCTCCCAAGTAGCTGCATGCCATCACACCTGGCTAATTTTTTATTTTAATTTTTTTTGTAGAGATGAGTTCTTGCTGTGTTGCTCAGGCGAGTCTCAAACTCCTGGGCTCAAGCAGTTCTCCTACTATGGCCTCTCAAAATGCTGACATTACAGTCATGAGCCACCACGTCCACCCAACCTCAGTTTTCTTCAGTGCCCATCTTAAATAATTTCAGGTAGAGGCCGCTTAAGAGAGATTGGAGAATATTTGAGTGGCATCACCTTGTGCTACACTCAACAACATTTCCCTCAGTCAGGAGTCAACCAGTTCCCCTCAAAAGACACATACATTTTGGCTCTCTCCTACCTCCATTTGAGTTCCCTTCATGTCAGGGTGTTCTTCCAAGAGCCTGGAAGATGCCTTTTTTATTACAATTCTAATTTCCATAGGCTTCACTGCTATTGGTGTTTTGTAAGTTCTTTCTACCACTTTTCTCAAGAGATCAATGATACTCTGGATATCTCATGTCTGATGTCCCAGGTCCTGAGGTGAGAATGTGGCTTAGGGTCTCCCATCTCCCTGTTCATTGCATATTTATGGACGGCAGATACTCAAACTAGGCCCAGCCAACCCAGGCCTGATCTAAGCAGGGCGTGTGCTGCCTTAATAGAATTCTGCTTAAGAAAATCCATGGGAATGACTCAGGATGAGTTTATTTACAATATGAAGCTGTCCCTTTTAAATGCTAAGCTCTCCTAATGCATCAACTGTTTATTGCTATTAACCAGGCTGGAAGCTTATTAGGGTGGGGCATGCCTAATTTATTTTCCCAGCATGCTTAGTGAAAGATTTTGCCTGTAATAGATGTTTGTGTTTGTTGACTTGAGCTGGATACATCCACCAGACTGGCAAAAACATTTTATAACTCACCTGCTATGGGTCAGGCTTTGTGATAGGTGGTAAAAACATGGAAACATGGCACAGTGATAAGGCTTAATTTAATAATACAAATAAAGTGAGTACTCAGAAAAGAGGACAGTCAATTCCACCTGGCATCAATTGGAGGCAAAAAAAGGCGAGAATATCTATAACTGGGTTATAGACAATGTTTAGAATTTCTTGAAAGAGGAAAAGAAGTCTAGGATAAGGGCATGTCAGTAGAAGAAAATAGCACCTGAAAAGTCTTCAGGGCACAAAAGAACATGATGTTTTACAGGAAGTAAAAATAATTCAATATGGCAACCATCGTCCAGGATATAAATACGTGAGCAGCACACAGGGAGGGCAGGGATGAGGCTGGAGAATGAGCTAGCTAATGAAGGGCCCTATTTGACTGAGTTTGCACTTGCTTCTGTGGGTCCTAGGGAACCACGGCAAGTTTTGAAGCCAGGTAGAGATGCTGGGTTGTGGATTAATGATGCAGAAAGACCGAAGAGACAGAAATATCAGTGGCAAGTCATTGCCACCCCAGCAGCTGCAATTGCCTGTAAACAGTGAGGACACCATGTGATAAGAGCTCGAACAGCAGGGTGCACCAAAGGCTAGAAGATCACCCAGGGATGAGTGAGAATCTGTTCTTGAAGGTTGCAGTGCAGCATTTACAGGGAGATATTGTTTGAGCTGAGACTTGAAGAGTAGGTGTATACCAGACTGACAAGGTGACAAAATGGCCTTCTGTGGAGGAGGAGATAATCTTTGCAGAGTCAGTGAGACATAAACTATAATGGCCCAGTCAGGGAGCCGTAAAATGTTTACTAGAATGAAGCTGAGGGTGCAAGTTTGTGGGTTGCTTAGGAAATAAGACTGGAAGATCAGCAGAAACTAGCAACATCATAGCCTTGACTGCCAGGGACTTGGACCTGACACTTCAGTTGGAATTATGGGAGCCTTTAAAGAACACTGTTGTGGTCCACTCTGCTCTCTGGATGATTCCTCTGGGGGCAACATGCAGGAGAGGTGAGAGCGACGTGAAGCTGAGGCAGGGGGACAGGTAGATGGTACTGCCATAGCCCAAGTATGAGATGTTAGGGTAGGTGGGGCTGGAGAGAGGGGAGGCCAGAGAAATTTGGATCAAAAATGGGGGAAAAAAAGATTTAACAGCATTGGTGGGGGTGAGGAAAAGGGCATGGCTTGTGAACAAGAAGGAAGGATTAGACATAATGGGAGTTTTTTGTGTATGTTTTTTTAGATTCAGGAGGTACATGTGCAGGTTTGTTATATGGATTTATTGCCTGATATTGAGGTCTGAGCTTCTATTAACCCTGCCACTCAAATAGTGACCATAGTACCCAGTGGGTGGTTTTTCAACCCTTGCCCTGCTTCCTCCCTTCCCCCTTTTGGAGTTCCCAGTATCTGTTTTCCCATCTTTATGTTTGTGTGTACCCAATGTTTAGCTCCCACTTATAATTGTGGACAGACAGTATTTGACTTTCTCTTTCTGCATTAATTCACTTAGAATAATGGCCTCCAGCTGCATCCATAGTGCTGCAAAGGACATGCTTTCATTCTTCTTTATGGCTGCATAGTATTCCATGGTGCACCACATTTTCTTTATCCAGTCCACCATTGATGGGTACCTAGGTTGGTTCCATGCTTTTGCTATTTTAAATAGTGCTGTGATAAGCATATGAGTGCAGGTGGCTTTTGGTAGAATGTTTTATCTTCCTTTGGGTGTCTGCCCAGTAATGGGATTGCTGGGTCGAGTGGTAATACTATTTTTAGTTCTTTGAGAAATCTCCAAACTGCTTTCCACAGGGTCCAGGGCCAGACTAGTTTACGTTCCTACCAACAGTGAATGAACATTTCCTTTTCTCTGCAACCTCGCCAACATCTGTTGTTTTTTTTTTTCTTTTTCATAATAACCATTCTGATTGGTATGAGATGGTATCTCACTGTGGTTTGGATTTGCATTTATATGATGATCAGTGAACCTGAGCATTTTTTCATATGGTCATTGGCTGCTAGTATGTCTTCTTTTGAGAACTGCCTATTCATGTTTTTTGCCTAATTTTTAATGGGGTTATTTGTTTGACTTTTTTGACTTGAGAAACCAAATAGGTGGCAGTGCCCTTCCCTGGGCAGTGGAAGTAGGAGGGGAACAGGGCTTGAGAGAAGGTGGAAGTCCAGTTTTTGGATGTGGTGCATTTGAGTGCCTGTGGTACGTTCTGCTGGCAGATCTGGTGCTGAGGCCTGGGCTGGGCTGGAGGTCTGTAAGAGTGGGGAAACAGACTCCATTGTGACAGGACAGTAGCATGAACAAAGTAGTTCCAGGTAACCAGAACAGAGGACCCAGAGGCTATTAGCTGCCCTCAAGTCTCTCCCATCTGGCTACACCTGCTCAGCAGAACATGATTCCCCAAGGATGGGTACAGCCATAAACCAAAATATCATCAGTTCCAAAGACTCCATGGGACTCAAAATGCGAATAGTGCATGTATTGATCCTTTGGGCTAAAGCCTCAATTGGACATGTGTTTCTTTTTTTTTTTTCTTGTTGCATCTGAGTCTCACTCTGTTGCCCAGACTGGAGTGCAGTGGCATGATCACAGCTACTGTATCCTTGACATCCTCGGCTCAGGTGATCCTTCTTCCTTAGCCTTCCCAGTAGCTGGTACTACAGGTGTGTACCACCATACTTGGCTTTTTTTTTTTTTAATTGTAGAGATGAGGTCTTTCTATGTTGCCCAGGCTGGTCTCAAACTCTTGGGCTCAGACCGTTCTCTCACCTCAGTTCCCCAAAGTGCTGGGATTACAGGCATGAATGAGCCACCAGGCCCAGTCTTGGACATGTGTTTTGATCTTAGCTCCATGCTTTGGTTGCTCTTGGCCCTGGGCATGCCCTACAGCCTCTCTAACCCTCTATTCCTCTAGGGGGACTGCCTCACAAGATTGGGGTCATGGATCATGATATGAGCCATGCAAAACCCCAAGCACTGGGGTCTGACACACAGTCACCACTTCATAGGTGCTAACTACCCCAGGGAGCTTCATTCCTGAGATGTATTTTCCTCATCTGTAAAGTGGGTAGTTACTGTATAGACTTTCAGGCTTATTGTAATGAAACAAATATTAAAAATAAAATCATGCAAGTAAAACACTTACCACAATGTCTTCCCAATGAATACCTTTTACTACTATCAATAATAAGTGTTGACATAGAACATATGAACGTTTTCAAAGACCCAGGCCTTTTGATGCCTTACTTTCTAACTTTCCCATATCTGTTCTGCTTCTATAAACATAAGGCCCCTCTGCTCCCTATCATTTTATCCTCCTCCCACCATAGTAATTAAAAGTCAAAACACAAAGATTTAAAAATTAACAGACAACCACACGAAAAAACACCCCAAGTCCCAAAACAAACACAAAAGTCCTTCCTTCCTGATCCTCAACTCCAGCTCCCTGGGAGTGTTTCTTTTTTTTTTTTTTTTTTGAGTGGGAGTCTCACTCTGTCGCCCAGACTAGAGTGCAGTGGCTGCTCCCGGCCACTGCAGCCTCGACTGGCTGGGCTCCGGCGATCCTTCCACCTCAGCCTTCCAAGTAGCCAGAATTACAGGCATGCGCTACCACGCCCAGCTGATTTTTCTATTTATTGTAGAGATGAGGTTTCGTTGCCCAGGCGGGTCTAGAACCCATGGGCTCGGGCAATCCACTCACCTCAGCCTCCCGGGAGTGTTTCTTAATCTCTAGCAAAGATTATCGCAGGACTGTGGAGAGCTTTCTGGTGTGGCAGAGCAGAGGGTCCTTGTTTCCCTCATTCCAGGTCCCATGGAGTCCCTTGGGTAGGACTCTCAACCAGAGAGTAAGCATAAGCTCTTCCTGCTCAGGAATTTCCTTCTTGTTTGCACTGTGGGAGTGGAGGTGCTCTGTGCTCTGTGACCAGCCATGGGAAGGTCAGTGTGGGGTCAAGTCATCCCTACCTCCCTGGGCAAGAGCCTGGAGCTCAGTCCGACAAGTGGAGAAGGAGAAAGCCCCCTTTAGAAGTCTTTTTGTGAGCCTTGCCCAGGATGAGAGACAGTGATCAACAGTCCATTGTTGACCTTGAAGGCCACCTGTGGGCCAAGCCCCCTCTGACTCCAACAGCTGACACAGTTGGACAAAGGTTACTGAGCTCCTACAGCCTGAGACTTCCCTCCTTGGGCTAGTTTGACCAACTGCCTCCCTGTTTGCCAGGTTGGGCAATGAAAGGTCAAGTTGGACTCTCAATGCCAAGATTTTTACTATCATGTGTCTTTCTTTCAGTGGGATCTCCCCGAAGTCCAGTGAACAAGACTACCTTGACCCTGATCAGCATCACCAGCTGTGTGATTGGCCTTGTATGCTCCTCTCACGTGAGCTGTCCTCTCGTTGTCAAGATCACCCTGCACGTCCCTGAGCACCTGATTGCAGATGGTGAGTCCATGCTTCTGAGGATGTGACCAAATCTCCCAAAGAGAAAGGTTTCCAGGTAACAGATAGAGAAGCTAGAGGTCACTGTTACCTATTACTATAGTGGTCAAAAAACTAAACTCAAATAAGTAAGGTTTAGAATAGGATTCGATTGCCTGCAGAAGAACTCAGAAAACAAGTTAAAAAACAAACTAAAGAGAATACCTCCTTTTTCCTATACCTGCACCCACTTCTGTCTTTTTTTTTGTTTGTTTATTTGTTTGGTTTTGCTTTGAGTTGGGGTCTCAGTCTGCAACTCAGACTGGAGTGCCGTGGCACAATCACAGCTCACTGCAGCCTCAGCCTCCTGGACTCAGGTGATCCTTCTGCTTCAGTTTCTCGAGTAGCTGGGACTATGGGTGCATGCCACCATGCCCTGCTAACTTTTTTTATTTTTTATTTTTTGTAGAGACAAGGTCTCGCTATGTTGCCCAGACTGGTCTTGAACTCCTGGGCTCAAGCGATCTTCTCACCTCGGCCTCCCAAAGTGCTGGGATTACAGGTGTGAGCCACTGTGCCTGGCCTCATATCTGCCTGTTTTTAAATAAGCCCTGTCTGTGTAGAGGAATGCAGAGCACACTGGCTACAGGTAGGTAGACACCAAGATTCCCTTAGCCTCTGAGAAGAGAAGAGCTAAGTGGAGTAGGAGAGGTGTTTAAAAATTAGCCATGCTTTGGTTTAGTATGCCCGGGTGAGAATTCCTAATTGCAGTCACTTGCTGTAAGCCTAGAACTCAGAAGTAATAATTTACTTTCATCCAGGGGGACCCCAATATAATGAGGGAGTAATATAGGTTCTGAGAGTCCCTGAATTATTTAAGCCCAGAGCACCTAATTGACTTGTTAATGTCTGTTCTCTTGGTTGCTGTAAGGCTGAAAACAGGTGGGGACCGTTCACGCAGCGTTAGAGGGCCTGCTAGTCACATTGCATGTGAAGACAGGCAGCGGCCCCTGTTCCTTGGACAAGTGCCAGTGCCTGTGGCTGGGTCTGATGGCCATGCCACAGCCATCACAAAACTGCTCTGTCCCTGTGTCCCTGAAGAATACCCTGGAAAGATGGGATGGGACAAGGCAGCAGGAGACAATATGGCTGGAGGGCCCAACGTCCCCGGTCTCACAGAGGTCTAAGTGATGGCCCAGCCTCCATCTGCTGAGCCCTTTCTCTGGGGTTAATGATGGGCTGGGACTGGCGAGAGTGATGACGTTAGATTGGGACTAATCCTCTGGTTGGGATTTACTCCATCTTCAGGGGCTCATGCACGTGTGTTGTGTGTGTGATATGGGCACACTTGCTTTCTCTCTTCCTGCAGGGAGCCGCTTCATCTTGCTGGAGGGGAGCCAGCTGGATGCCAGTGACTGGCTGAACCCTGCCCAAGTGGTTCTCTTCTCTCAGCAGAACTCTAGTGGGCCCTGGGCCATGGACCTCTGTGCCCGACGGCTCCTGGACCCTTGCGAACACCAATGTGACCCCGAAACTGGTAGGCAGGAGCACCGGGCAGCGGGTAACTGTCAGAGAGCTCATGCCTCTTGCAATCACCCCCTTGAAAGTCAGGCCATTTCTTCCCACTCTGCTGTCCCATTGCCATCTCCAGTCTAGATCGTGCAGGCTGCCCGCATGCAACTGGGCCACTGAGCATATTAGCTAAAATGGTGTTGTCATATGCTGCAAGAAGCCTTGGAAGGATCTGTAGCCCCAAGCCAAAACGGCCAATTTTGGATAACCTTTATGACCTATTTGTCATTCATTCAGAGGATATTTAACTATTGGGGCCAGACACTTCATGATTACAAAATTAATGTCTATTTATTATTTTAAAAATTTGGAAAATTTAGAAAAGCTCATAGGAGAAAATGATAATCATCTATATTTCTATCTCCTGGATAAATCACTTTCAAAATTTAATATTCTCCATTCCAGTTTCTTTTCTATGCATGCGTTTAGGGGCTTCATAAAAATACTAATTCTAGTAGAGCTTTCCTGCTTTTTTCACTTACCATTCCATCATGAGAGTTTTCCAGAATTATTAAATAACCCTCAATAATATAATTTCCATAGCCATTTGGTATACTATCATATGTCTATATCATTGCTCATTTAAACAATCCCTGTTATTTGACATTTAGGATGCTTTAAATTTTTAATTTTTATAAGTACTATTAAAATGAGCATCTTTACACGTAAATGCAGGGCACATTTGAAGTTATTTTCTTCAGATGAATCTTGGAGAGGGATTACTGGGTCAAAGGATAGGAATATCTTTAAACCCATCAGATGCAGCTGGGGCTTCTCTGAGAGAGGGTTCAAATTCAGGCATGGCATGAAGTAAAGCACACTCACTGCTCTTAGAGTTCCAATGCATCGGGGGACACAGATCTCTTACTTCCAGTTACTTTGCACTTTCACTGTAGAAGGGGTTCACCTACAGGAGTCTCTACAAAGACCTAGTTTGAGAAAATTGAGTACCATGGAGAGATCCTTCCCAGAGAGCAAAGGAAAGAGATAAAGTGATTATCCAAGACCTCCAAGCGAACTGTTGCTGAAGTCAGAGGCCAAGACCTCAAGCTTTTTGTATATCATTTGCCCTACCCCCCACCCCCCACACACATATCACCATCAAGTGCAGGGATCTTACTAAAGGATGAGTCTAAGATATCTGGTCCTTACTTCTGTTATAATCCATTATCAAATCTCTTTGGGAGAGTAACAGATATCTGCAACATCTAAAATTCACCTTCTTGGGTCTTAAAGTTGTTTTACGTGGGCCCATCACAGAGATTCTCGGCCCCCATATGGAAGAGAAAGTACAACATTTTAAACATCTGAAGCCTAAGACTGTGCTTACTTGCTGCTCCTCCCACGCTGCCAGGCAAACACCAAACCAAACAGATGGGCTGTGTACCATGCCCAAAAGCTAGTGTGTTCGGGAGAAATTAAAAAGAGCTCATCTCAGAGGTGGGGGCTTTCCATGCAACTGAGCCAGTCTTTGCTCCCCTCGTTCTCCAGCTGGCTTGGATTGGGGGATTCGAGACTATCTCATTTGTTAAACTCACTTCTGAGAGAAGCGTGATCTCCAGGGAACTTTAGGTGCTCCTCCTTGGTTTTTAAAGAATGGGAGGGAACTTCAGTTACATGTGGAAAGAAGGAATTGTGTTTCGTGCTTGGCAGGGTCTCAGTGGTACACTGCCTCCTTACTTTAGATTTACGTTTGAATTCCTCAAGACGAACATGACTTGCCCCAAGTCCAACAGCTACCTAAAGCAGAGTGTTTTATCTATTGTGAAATCAGAGCAGAGGTGGGATTAGAAACGTTTACTTAATTTCCCCAGACATGTCATATCTGACATATTTGTCATTCAAAACTATTAAGCCACAACCATTACTAAGCATTACTGTTCCGTGTGCCAGGAAGCTGCTTGTCTGTTGCGAAGCTCTCCATCAACTAACTCTTCAGTCCCTTCCAGATGTCTCATTTCTAATCCTTACTGAAAGTGACTTAGAGAGGCCCCTCCCCTGCTAATGACTTCCCAGTATCTGTGACAACTAATGAATTTCCATTTGGAAAGCCACAGAGGAAGACTAAAAATAAGATTCAAACCCCACAGCAAAGCTAAGGAGAAACATCTTCATTTTGGGTTAGCAGTTGAGAAACAATGCTGCAAAGACTTTTATTTCCATTAATGCTGGAATTGGAAAACCCTACCTCCCCCCACCCCGCTTCTTTCTGCACATGGGATGATGTGGTCATCCCACACGCTCATCAGTGAGAAACTTTATCGCCTCCCACACTCCATCCTAGAGCCTTTCTCCAAAGAACTGAGTGTGGGAATTGGCTTCAAGTCAAGACAACGTTATTTTTGTCATCCTCCAGCAAGCTTACTTGGAAATGTCATCGTGTTGGGACATGTGCTTTCCCAGCCATGATGAGAGGTCTGCCCATATGGATGCATGGGGCTGTGCAAGTGCACGTGTGTACTTTTTACACACACACGGGCGCATGCACACAAACACGCAAACACACAAACACAGATGCTCAGTCATTGCAAAGGAGCAGGCTCTGACGCCTGGAGCTCTCCTCTGACTTCTTTCCTGAGAGTTTCCCAGGGCTAAGCGTATGTGCATCTGTCACCTGCATGGTGCTCGGTAAGACCAGGTGTGAAGGCATCATGTCACATGGTAAAAGAGAATTAAAGTTGCATATGGAATGGACGTTGCTAAACAACTACCTTTAAAATAGGAAGGCTATCTGGGTGGAGTATCTGGGTGGTCCCAATATAATTGTAAGCGTAATAAAAAGTGGAAGAGGGAGGTAGAAGAGAAGGTCAGGGATGTTGTGATGAGACAAAGACTCAACTAGCCATGACAGACTTTGATATGGAGGAAGGGGTCATGAGCCAAGGATTGTGGACAGCCTCTAGAAGTCAGAAAAGGCCAGAAAACAGATTCTCCTTCAGTGCCTCCAGAAAGGAACACAGCCCTATAGACATCTTGATTTTAGCCCAGTGAAATCCATGTCAGACTTCTGGCCTGCAGAGCTGTAAGATCATACATTTATGTTGCTTTAAACCACTACGTTTGTGGTCACTTTTTCCTGTGAAAATAGAAAACAAACCCACTAAGGAAGAAGCAAAAAGACAGAGAGAAAGAACAAGCACTGTTTTGTTCCTCTTCCTATTCCCCCAACCCAGTGTGTAGACCCTCTAAAGATATGTCATAAATCGATGGAAAACCTTGAGCTGGAGGACCTTGCTGACCTGTCTTCCATCCCAGCCTCCCTCTCCATGTTTCTAGTCTAGCAACATGCAATCTGGGAGGGTGGTAAGGTCCCTAAAGCTCTTAGCCCAGTACCTGGAATATAGTAAGCACCAGTAAACATTCCAATAATCATCAGGGGTCCACAGACTCTTCAATTTAAATGTAGTTGGGCCAGGTGCCATGGTTCAAGCCTGTAATCCCAGCACTTTGGGAAGCTGATGCAAGAAGATTGCCTGAGCCCAGGAGTTCGAGACCAGCCTGGACAACTTGGTGAAACCTCATCTCTACAATAAATCAAATAATTAGGCAGACATGATAGCATACACCTGTAGTTCTGGCTACTTCGAAGGCTGAGGCAGAAGGATCACCTGACTCAGCAGGTCAATGCTGGGGTGGCTGTGAGCATGCCACTGCACTCCAGCCTGGGCGACAGAGTGAGACTCCAACTCAAAAAACAATAAAAATAAATAAATAATTGTGGATGAACCTGAGGAATGATGGGCTTGTGTCCCAAGTCTTGACTGCCATTTCCAGTCTTCTACTGAGCACTGTTACCTCTTAACACTTCTTGAACCATGCCATGTCATGCCCTTCATATATGGCTGTTTTGGAACTCAGGGCACAAGTGTATTAGGTTCACCCCATTGACAGTTTCAGAAAGCATGCTGTGCCATCTCTGCACCATCTTTCCAGATCAGGGGAAACCACTGGGAAATGCATGGGAAACAGTTTTCAGAAAAAATAAGATTAGGCAGTGTTTTCAGAGAGCTCACTATGTGTCAAGCACCATGCTTTACTTAAATCATATAACTGAAGCTCTGCAGTAATGCTAAGAAGTGGACAGTCCTCTTACACCTCAAGAGTTCTTAGCTAATTTGCCCAGGGTCCCTTGTGAGGTCCCTTGCCTAGTTAATGGCCTAGCCAGACTCCAAACTCAGACGGCCTGACTTGGAACTCACTTCTGATCATTATGCAGTCCTGCCCATGAGGTCAGGCTTCAGGGAAGGAACTAGGGTGAAAGGTTCAGAATTTTCCTCCTTCTGAGTGGCAGCAGCAGGACCCCAGCCCCCCAATGAAGGCTTAGCCAGTTGCATCCTGACTTTCTCCTCCCAATGTCCCCAGGTTTGTGACCCCAGGTGTGTCTGTGGCCAAGTGGGACTAACAGCAAGGCACTACAGCTATATGGCATGGTGCCCCACCTGCATCCAGCCAGAGGTTGACTTTTCCTGCACTTTCTAAGGGTTTTTGCTTTGTCTATTTGATAGAAACATAGACTCCCTGGTTTCAGCGCCTTTTCTCTGCCACATGGTCAGCTGAGGAGGCCTCCTATACTTGTTCACCTCCACGGTCCCCATCAGTCCTGGCCACAGATCCTCATTGTCCTTTCTGAGTTATGCAACTTTTATGGTTCTGCAAGGAGCACAGGCATCCAAGCTAAATTAAGTTTTAATCGCCATCCAAGATGTCCACTGAAATCCCTTCTGTAGGTCTTTCTATAGGCCGAGCCCATCCGTGTGGGAATATGTAAACCTGTTGAGGGATTTCAGACCCACTTCCTGGTCTCAGTCCAGCCCTCCCCCCCTGGCTTGCCTGCCTCTTTCAGACCTTCCCTGTTTTTTGTTTGGTTGGTTGGTTGCTGTTATTGTTTTTTAACCAGTTTGGCAGGGTAACTCAGGCCTTGTCTTATTCTGGCTGGCTCACTGATTCCAAACTCACTTTTGCGGATCCATTGGAGCACCTTCCTTCCTTCAGGAGGTGCTTTCAGCACACTTCCTTCATGCCCTCTCACTTGACCCTGGACCTGCCTCTCGCCTGATGTCCCACAAGAAAGGGAGACCAGGCAGTGAGATACTACCCACGTCCAGATCTTCCTTTTTAGATGAAGCATGCCCAGTTTCAAGTAAAAGTCAGCCCCTACCTGAACAAGATCCAGGGCTTTTGGCTTTGATCTGTATTTCCAGCATGAAGAACTTGGGGTGAACCCAGTCATGTTCGTGGAATCCTGTCTTCAAGGTCTTTCTTTAATCCCTGGATGAGACTTGTGCCTCAGTCCTTCAGCTGTAGAATGGAAATGACCATGGGCACTGCCCAGCATCCAAGGTTCCTCAAGGTGTATGCCCTCAGGGTACAAAGCACCATCAAATGCAGCTGTCTCCAGACCTTGCCACACCACCCTCAGCCTCTCATCTCCAACAGGGCTGCCCAAGCATCCCCTGCAGGCACACTCTGCCCTGGCTGAGCCCTTCTCCGTGCGGTGACACGTATCTCCATTGGATTCCCGTGTATACCACCACAGAGTCGGCGCCTCATACGTTCCCCGCCATCTGTCACAGCAGATGCGGTGACTGTAACACTTCTAGCTTAGGAGGGCATCCAACACCCTTGTGGGGTCTTTAAAATTCACAGCTAACAGTCGGAGTCTGTGCTTTCACGAAGCCCCTCTTAAAGTCAAGATTTAGCAGTTGGTTTCCATAGCAACTTTCCTCATCAAGTCTGAACTCCTCTCAGTGTGGATGGCCAGACTGGTTTGGTGGAGGAACACAGACGAAGGATGTTCGGTGGGTTCCCCAAATGAGAATCCTCTAAGAGTCACTTTTTGGATATCCTCAGACTCTAGCAAGATGTGTTTGAAAAGTTCTTTGTTTCTTGGACTTGGGGCTGCATGTGGTATTATGTTTCATCTCTTGGAGGCAGTATGCCCCCACACAGTAATGAGTGATGGGAGCCTCATGAGGAGATAATGACCATAAAAGCAATTTGAAAAGGTGAATGTGCTGTACAAATGGTAGATATTGCCATCGTTAGGAAAATAAGGCTCTGCTTGAACTCTGAGTTGTTACTGCATTTATTTTTACATTTTCTGTGGTAACTAGATATCAGATTTGGAAGAGGATTTTCGTTTTTGTCAATTCTTAATTGTGGGCAAGGTCTCAATCTGAGAACATTCCAAGAGTTGAAGTGGCAGGTTTGACAACATCCTGAAATTACTTCGTACTTTTCAATATCATGCCCATGACTAATTGTCCATGAGGACAATCAGGAGAGAATCTTTCCCTAAGAAAAATGTATATTTGAGTCCTTGGCCTATGAATTGGCTTAGATATCTGCATCTTAGGGGGGGTGATATTATCTGTAGATTTAGGGCAACTTCTTTCATTAAATTAACTAGTTTTCATTACACAGTATTTATTAAGGACCTCCTCATATAGGGGAAACTATCCCTGTTACCTGTCCCTGCCTGGTGTAGTTCATGTCTAGGAATTCTTTGGAATGAGGCAGTATGGAGCCAGTTCCCGGACCTTCCTCCATTTGCTCTCCCCAGTACCCCAGTTCTTTATCTTTCTTTTTATCAGAGAAACAGCCTTCCTTGCAAGCCTGATCATCAACCACCTAATTTCAAACTGTGTTTTCCTGTTTTTGGCTCAGAGCTCCCTGACCATTTCTAGATACAGCTCAGTACCACTGAAGCCCGGAAATTTGAGCTTACTGTGGGTCTAGCCCACGTAGGAGGCAGAATTTGCCATACTGGGGACAGTGTCCTAACCTCATACTGCCTGTGAATTTCTCACTAACTAAGAAGTTACTCCTTTTCACTCCACTTCTCAGCACACTGAGCTGAGCAGGTGTGGGCGAAGGTAGTGTGTGTGACCCAGGAGTGAGGCCCTGTCAAACAGTGGCTTAGAGATCAATCTTGAAATGAATGGCTGAGCTAAGATGCTAAAAAAAAATCCTTGCTCAGACCCTATCCCATCCCTTCCCCCTTAACTGTGAGGCTTGCACTTCGTTTTTGTTGGATTTTATCTCCAGAAAGAAAAAATAGCACTCAAAGCTATTATTCTATTTATATCCTTTTTAAGCGTCTCTTTCTCGAGAGATAAAGAAATAGGCTGTCCATCATCTCTGTAGGGCACAGCACCTTTGTTATTTACACATTTCAGGAAGTCACACGTTGTTCTTTCGCTAGTTATAAACTAAATAACCAGACATTAAAATAGTAGGAACTAGTGTTTTAGTGTAATTGGTCTTGGTAGCTTGGGGATCCATAGCATTGCACAAGAAATTATTATTACTGTTATTTTTTAGAGACAGAGTCTTGCACTGTTGCCCAGGCCAGAGTGCAGCCTTTATCTCCTGGGCTCAACCAATCCTCCTGCCTCAGCTTCCCCAGTAGCTGGGACTACAGGTGTGCACCACCATGCCCAGCTATTTATTATTGCTATTATTATTATTATTGAAACAGGGTCTTGATTGACTGTCCAGACTAGTTTCAAACTCCTGGTTTTAAGTGATCCTCCCACCTCAGCTTCCCAAATCATTGGGATTACAGGCGTGAGCCACTGCACCTGGCCAGCAATTATTAATATAAGGAAGCAGCAACCCTTTTCTTCAAGACCAGTACTAAATAGACCAATGATTCTTAATCTTTTGGGTAATCTTGGATTTGCATGTAAATCAGATGAATGTTATGGGACCCTGCCTTGGAAAAATTCATGTATACACATATACGGTTTTGCATGCAATTTTGGTAGATTCATGGACCTTTTGGGATACCAATGGAGCAACTAGTGATAATGAAGCATGATAGCCTAAACAAATGTAGAGTCATAGATGATCCTTTTGTTGACCTGCTCCAAGAATATTAGCCATTTTCACTTAAAAGCTAAAACCCAGAATTCCTATAAAGCCATAATAGGTTTAAGTGACCTCTTCTAAGTACAGTAACTGTTTGTGTTCTAGCAGCAGGGCTTGGGAAAAACGGTCTGCAGTCATACAGACATGGGTTCAAATATTAACTCTGCCACTTATAAGCTGTTGACAAGCCTTCACTTTTTCCAAGCCTCAGTTTCCTTCGTCAGTATAACACAGCTAATAATACTTACCTTTCAAGAAATATTTGATGAAATAGCTTAGTTGTGCAGATCTTAAACATTATTATCTAATATATGCATTGAGAAATTTAAAGATGAAAAATTCCCTTCCCTCTAAGATTTATTGGTCTTTGTGCTTGGAGAGCACATATAATATGTGTTTTCTAAATGTCAGATTCCTCCTCTAGTGGAAATTAGCACATGCTGGAAAGTGGAGAGATTGGGGGTGGTGTGTTCATGTAGTGGACATTGGAAAAAGGAAACATACGTTCCCATTCATTCTGCTATCAGAGTCAGAGTTTAAGTTGATCATTTTGTATTAATTTTCTCCAACACAGACATGTTAATCAACTCATTCATGACTCTCTCTTCCTCTTTACCCTGCTTCTAAGGGGAATGCCTCTGCTACGAAGGTTACATGAAGGATCCTGTACACAAACACCTCTGCATTCGAAACGAGTGGGGGACCAACCAGGGGTAAGTGAGGGGATGGGAGGTGGCTGGCTCGAGTGTCCCCACTCCTCACACAGGCATGCGTGGACAGGGATGGAGGTGAAGGGTGGCTGTGCTCTGAACAGCAGTGAGTAAAAATGTCACTGTGCCTTTCCCTATTTATACCATGCCAGTGAGGTCCATATTATCCTGCTCTCCATTTACGAGTCAAGAGATGATGCCTCTGACTTGCAGCCCCGCAGCCTCCAGCTGGGATCTGAAAACCAAGCTGTCCTGCTCTTCCTTTTCACATAGCCGCCAGCCACGAGGATTCCACAAGCAGAATTTAGCTGATGATTTTGTTGGAGACACGCTAAGTGGCACAGACTCCAGCGTAGCTCTCCTGGAGCCTGGCATGCTTTGCGAGACTGACATGAGGGGAAACTTGTTTTCACCAGGACTGTCAGCAGGGGTGACCTGCAGAGACACAGGGAGGACTGTGCTGAGTAAGAGGGTATTTTTCACCTGACCCCCAAGTATCATTTCACTGTGAGACCTCTGCTTTCCCCCAGGCACACATGGCTGTTTATCTTCTTAAATTTTTCTTTTGCATTTTTAAATGTTTTTATTGAGATAAAAATATATAACATAAAATTTACCATTTTAACCATACAATTCAGTGGTACTAAATACAATAACATTGTTGTGCAACCATCCTTCCTACCCATCTTCTATTGTTTTTTTAAAAGGAGCTTTTGACTTTCTTTTGGATGCTGACAGCTTGCTTTCTGCATTGGCTGGGTTGTGGAGGAGGGTGGGAGTAGAAGTGGATCGATAAATGCTAACTAATAATAGCAATCAATGAAACAGGAAAAAACAAAAAAATCAAGGCAAAAGGCATCCTGGAGTGATTGCTTGGACTGCAAATGAGATACGTGTTTGCAGCCTGACAGGTGGAAAAAAGAAACCAATGTCGTTCCAGACATTGCTGTGAGAACTCACACCTCCGAGGTCGCTGATCAGCCCCTCTGCATGATTCTGATGAGACCAAACCTAGAATATTGAAAGTAGTTCTGGACTCTCTAAGCAATAAATATGGTGACAAATGGGTGAGGGTTTGGGGAAGAGCAATAAAAATGATTGAAGAGCACAAGGGAGTGATTTATGATGAAGGTACAGAAGAACTCAACTCTGAGAACTTAGCCAGCTGATGACTAAGCCAAGGCATGATAAATGCCCATAGACGTTCAGAGAGGGCAAATGTTCTGGAACGGGTTGAAGTTGAGGGATAAGGACAAGAAAGAATGAAGTCAGGGAGAGGAAATCTGAGTCACAGGTCAGAAAACTTAAGGAAGTCAAAATGCCATGAAATGTTCCTGTGAGTGAAAATGAAGGATTGCTCAGTTTTGACTGATTTTGACATCATATCAGAGAGGCAGTCCAGAAAATTCAAAGGAAGGTGTTTGTAGAAGGAACTACACATTAGTTGTCCTGTTAATGAAAGATTGGTGGGAAGAGGACTTGGCTAATAGATGTCTAGTGGGATGTAAATGAAGAATGCAATTTGCTGTTTAAGTTCCGTGGAGTCCCCTACCCTCTTAATCCCTGAAATATGTGTGTAGTTGCTAAGGAGCCAAAATTTAAGTTCATGGGATGACTGAGAATCTCAGTTGACTATGGTTCTTATTGAGTAAAATAGTGGAAAGGGAGATGGGTAACTACATTTCATTTCTTAGTCTGCAAACTTGCTGCTGAAGAAAACAATGACAAAATATTTCACTTTTGCCCAGAATGACCCAGGCTGCCTCTCTGCTGTGATTGGACTTGGTGGTTAATTGCTCAATCCTCTTCATCTGTAGTAGTCTTGTAGACAGATATGTGAGGATGGGCCTGACTTCCCTTGGTAATTGCACAAGCCTTCATCATTCCTTCTGGCTGTATGTAGAAACAGCCTTAGGATGTAGACAAGAGCCTCAAGGGAGAGGGTGGAGGTCCCGGCGCTGGTGTCATTTAGAATGAGACAGGCTTAAGCACTGAGTTACAGACTGACAGGAACATTAGCCCCAGGAAGTAGACAAGGAGACCTAATCTGTCATTTCCATCTCTAATTTCCATTATTCTATGATCATCACTGTCTATGAGGTCTCATTTTGGACATTAATAAAATAATGGAGCAACTGTTAGCAGGAGGGAATAAAAGCGACAATCGTGAGGGTAATGGAACCAGGAGCGATAAGCGTTGTGCATTTATATGTATACAGTATTAAAAAAATTGCCAGACAAATGACTGCATTTTTCCCCATAAACTGACAAGATAAGTGGAAAGTATAAGATGCCATACATGTTGATTTAAATCAGGGATTTGATGTCATGTTTCTTTAAATGATTCTCACAAAATTAATTGAAATTGTTTTAAACATGAAACTGTCACTCAAATTGAAAAGTGTCCGACAGATTGCCAACTAATAATACATATTGGGGTATTGCAGAAAAATCAATGGTAGGACTGATTTTCCTGAGAATTTTGTTTAATGTTCCAGAATTAGAAGTAGGCAGCCCATGTGTAGATATTTATGTTGTTCACTTCACATTCTCATCTTGTATACATTAAAATAGCTGAATATTCTTTTGCAGAACAGCCAAACCCTAGGCCAGTAATAGTCAAAACAAATTTCTTCATGAAAAATCAAGGTTAATGTACCAGCAGAAAAGTAGCAATAAGCATTCATGACTTTCAGACAAGAAAGAAAATTGATCAAGGACACTAATACAAAAAGTTACAAAGTGATGATTCTTGGAGGCAGAGGAGTTACACCTACAACTTTATCCAGCCTCTGCCTCATTCTAGTTACCTGGGCCTGTGTGCTGAGTGTGTGTGTTGTAAGTGTGTGCGGTGTATCTGACTATACATGATGTGTGTGCGTTATTGTGCACCTGTGGTGTCTGTGTGATTGTATGGTTTGTGTGTGTATTGTGTGTGTGTGTGCATGGTGTGTGTGCTTTATGTGTGCACATGTGGTGTCTGACTGTATGATGCATGTATATATGTGTGTGCATGAGAATGAGGTAGTTTGCTTATGGGAATCCTCTACCATTTCATCATTTATTCTCTCATCCATTCATGTTTTCAATAGGTATTCACCCCATTATCTGTTGGAATCCAGGGTATGCTTGGTTACTTTTTACAGAGGATGTGGTCCCAGCTCTGGAAGAACTAATCATCCTCATAGATAGTTGGGAGCATGACAAGTAATTGCAATGAATTTTAAGACCTATTGAAATTAAAGTGTGAGTAAAGGTCTGTGAGGTTGAAGCGTAAGGGGTGACTTATGTAAGATCATAGAATCTGAAAGAGGGCTTCATGGAGAAACGGGTTTTGAACTGTTCTACTTGACAGGTAAAGAAAGTCATTTGAAGCAAGGGGAACAGCATGTACAAAGACCTAGAGACATAAGGAGGCTTGTTTTTCCAGGAATGGCAAATAAATGGTTCAATGTGGCATAAGAATGCAGTTTACAAAGACAAGAGAAGAGGCTTGCAAGATGGCTAAAGACCAGATCACAAAGAGGTCTTGTTTGCTAAAGTTTTGGACATCAAAGTTCCTGTGTACAAGACCCTAGAATTATTAGAAGGAAGAAGTTCCAAGGTGTTCCCTCACTACACGTTATTTTTCAGGACCCTCTATAATTAATATAAATAATCCTAACAGAAAGCACACACACACACACACACAAAGCCTCTCAGTGTTTTGTATTTGTATTTATCTAGAATTGTATTTATTTGAATTCTCCAAGTAAAACACATTCTTAAAATAATACTGTAGGCAGAAGCATCCAAGACCTGAAGTCAGAAAGGACAGCTAATTGGAGATTATATGTATGAGGTATGTGCATTCAGGGGGTTGCAGTCATTTCCCGGTGACCCCAGTTCTGCCAAGATTGCCAAGGGAGAAGTGAGGCAGGTTGAGACATTCATATGTTGGTTTGGGTGGTGAGGCCTGTCACTCTAGCTTAGCCAGATGACAGGGTCCAGGTGGCAGATTATAAGATCTTTGAACTCACTGCACAAGAAAGTCCTATTCACTAAAATAAAAATAGCTTCAGAAAGATTTAAACAAAGTCACAGATGACAGATTTCTAATGGGTTATTAAAAGAACATGGGATGTTTGAGGTTATATCATCGGTCTTGGAGGTTGGCAACAAAATCAATCATTCCCTGCCACAACACCTCCTGTGACCCTGCTGCCTGGCATAGGACCTAGGGTGGACAGGTCCTAGCTCTGCACAGTGGTTTGCCACGTCTTCTGTCTACCCTGCATGAATTCTCTGGATATCTCTTTGGTTTCCCATCCTTGTGGCTGCATAGACACAGCCAGGGACTATTAATGTCTGTATTTGATATTTGTTTGCTAGGACAACAAGGATAAATTGAAAATTTTCACAGAAGAGAAATGAAAACAATAAATGAGGATAGAGGAGGCAAGAGAGATTGATTTACATGAAAATATTACAGGAGAAAAAAACAAATTTATGTAGCTACTTTGGAGATGATTAAGAAAGGCTATAATCATGTTTTTTTTTTTTTTTTTGGTTAAATTAAAAGTGCACCCAAGGGCCTCTGGATGCATTTTTCAGAATACCACAATTAGATTAAATTCATGCATTTGAAGATCCCCGGTAAATAATAGCCTGATTTCTTATTCTGGCATCTCAGATGCAGAGGGCAGCACCAAAGAGATTCCCCGCTAGAGAAATATAAAATATCACTAGATTTCAGTGCTGAAGGATGGAGACAGAGTGGTAATTCATGAGAGAGGAAGCGACCTACTGTGGAAAATGAACAGGTGTTTCTCTGGGATTTTAAAAACCGTTGTCAGGAATGGTCCTGCTCCTCAGAATGCGTCTTCCTCACACTGCCTGCTCAGGAGACAGCACACTCATCATGACATCCGCAGGTAGATGCCCGTGTGCACGTGTAGCACACCCCACTCACTCAGGCCCACAGTGCCTTCCCGCATCCTTGCCTTTACCTCAGGTGCATGCCA